AGTATTTTCAAAATGCTGGTGTCCAAGTAAATGGAGAATCGGCAATACAGAAAACGAACAGGTCAAAACTTTCAAATACTTAGGAGTAACATTTCAGTGCAACCTACATTGGACAACACAGAAATTAGATCAATTTCTCAAGCGAAGCAATCTATCACCAAACTGAAGCAATTTTTCTTTATCAACGGAAATCAACATATTCCTTCAGCAATAAAAATTTACAAAACTAAAGTGCTTTCCCAAGTACTCTTTGGTTGACCAGTATGGATAAAGGCACTTAACACCAAGTTTGAGCACATTCAAGCAAACTTATTTCATCAACTCTTAGGTATTCCAAGGTGTGTGCCATACGGCTTTATGCCTAGAATTGGGCCAACATCATATTCAAACAAAAAGTTTGCTACTAACCTTTAAATATTGGCTTAAAATTCATTTTAGAGCCTCTCCAAACTCTCTACTTTCATACTTAAAGAATGATACACACAGTCCCCTCTGGTTTTCAAAAATAGAAGAATAAATTAATCAAATAGGCTTTTTGACTGATTACTTTCTCCAAATGGACAAAACCTTGATTTTTGATCTATTAGATAAAGACTATCTGATCTAGAATTACATAATTTTCATCCTTTATATCCACATATTTATTCACAAGCTCATCTTAACCTTTCAACCCAACATGGCCAAATGGCCCATTATTTACATAATCTCAGCCTTCCTTCCCATTGTAGAGCCTTTACATTGGCTCCCCTAAATATCATTCCCTCAAACATGTTGTGGGATTGATTTAACAACCCCCCCCCCCCAGGAAAGAGTCTGCAAATGCTCCAGCATGGCCCCAGATTCAACCTTCCATATTATTCTGGACTGCCAGCTGCACACATCTTTACGTATGAAACTTTTACCCCTTTGGCCATGCTTCTTTACTAATAATCTTAAAACTGTTTCAATATCTTCTTAATGATGTTAATACTGATACGACAAATATGGTTGCAAAATACATAGCAGAATCAGTCGCACTTAGATACAGTCTTTTTACCTAATACACACATTTTATTGTCTAAATTTACTTACTGGAATTCAATGTATCTTCTTAAATTTATTTATTATATACTATTATGCCATTAAAGGGCGTGCAAAAGATAAACTCTCTGCTGCATAGATTATGGTGCAGCCTCATTTGGAATACTATGTGAAGTTCTGATCACTGTATCAGAAATGATATTGCAGAGATGAAAAGTACAGAAGAGAGCAGCCAAGATGATTAAGAGATAGGAGCACCTTTCCTGTGAGGAAAGACTGAAGAGTTTGTGACTTCAGTTTAGAATAGAGATGGCTGGGGGGGGGATGGTATAGGTTTATAAAATTGTGCACAGGATGCTGATTGGATGCTGGACTAGATGGAGCACTGGTCTGATCCAGCAGGGCTCTGCTTATGCTTCATATTATGAAAATGATATTGAACATGTTATTTGGAATGAATTAACAAGAGTCTGGTCCTGAGATTGTTCTGTATTTTAAATAACTATACAATGGTGTTTCTGTTTGGGGAGGAATGAATCATCTTGTTTGGAACAATTATAGACACATTATCAAAATTGCATCCCATATAAAACAATGACTATTTTCTTACTATAAATGTTCATAGAAATGTATTTTCAACTAATGGCAAGTGACTGACTCTCCATTATTTCCCCCCCCCCAAATTGAACATTCAGGTAAAGTCAAAATCAATTTGAATTAATATAGGATTAAGAGTGTAACAAAATGATAACATGCACAAAGTATTTGTTATCAATCATTTATTACTGAAAAAAAATTGAATTTTCTTATCTGGCACATAAACAATCATGTCTACAAAAAGGAAAGCCTACAAATCTTGATAATTTATACAAATAACAGTTTTCTCAAAAAATAAAAATTTTAATTTAGTAAACTTGTGCTCTTATTTTTAAGCACTGTCTGCAATATCCACCACAAATCCCTGAGCAGAGACAACATTTTAACATATTCCAAAATTGTAAGTTATAAAGCCCAGCCCTATAGTGAAATGTATGGAGGAACATTCTTCTTTTAAATCTTCCATTTATCATTTTTGTTTTAAAGGAGACAGTCTTCAATACTACCATAAAACTGTGCTGTGTGTCAATCAACTTGTGCAATGAACAGAAAATCAATAAAGAACACACACACACATACAATGAATTAAAGAAAGAACAACAGGGCAATGATACCTGCATTCAATAGCTGAAATTTAAGGATACCACATTTACACATATTAGTCTTAGATTAATACATAGGTAATTTTTACAGGCGTTCATAAAGAGGGTGTGCCATGGTGGATAGAATCAAGTTATCCCACGTCTTAACGTGGAATACTAAAAACACTATTTCAACTCTTTAAAAGTCATTGTTTTCATTTCTAAATAAAACAGCTTTGGGTATTGTACCATGGGCACAGTGAAAAGGTTGTGGGTCCTGCACAAGTATCAATAAAAGAGTGATGGGGAAGGGTTATAAGATCAGAACACTTAGCAGGCAGTGCCCATGAACTCCATGTTTACTGAAAACATGCCAGTAATATTGGCAAAAACAAAACAAAACACATCCAGATTTTGACTTCTACGAACTGTGACCTACATGACAATGTGCCAATAAGATGGATAGCCGCATTCCAAGTTTCCTTAGCAGGTATACGTTTATATAGTGGGTATATAGCCAGATGATTTACAAAGCACAGAATAATCTCCCTCTAAGCATCAATACACACCCTAAACATTTAAAACAGTGCATGAAAAGGAAACTAGAAGGCTAGCAACAGTTGTGAAACACTATCTAATGATTCCTTTTGTGCAATTTCTCAAGCAGTACAAAGCAATCAAACAATATTCAATAAGAATAAGAGGAAATTGTAACATATGAAGAATAAGAGATTAATTTTTTTTTTGATTCAAGGTGCTCCATGGTATGAGGCCAATAACCAAAAGATTTACATGATCTTTTTTCTTAAATGGCAGCCTCTTCACCACTTTCATTGTAAATTACTTGTGAAACTGAAATGAGTTTCAATAGCAGTTTGTGACATGGCACAAAAATTCATGAGGGGACATGAGAGCCCTTGGACATGTTTGCAGTAACTCTTTGGAATGTGGACAAAATACATGCTCACTGCTTCCCAAATGAATGTTGCAATAGGTAATTAAATCGGTTATTAGAAAACACTTGCCTACCCCATAAATAACTTAGTAAATGCTCTGAAAAAGCACAGTGCAGGCCTAAAATATTCTGTAAAATATAAATTTTTAATGTGGCAAATAACACCATAACTATGCCAAATAAACTGAAATGTTAAGGTTTTTTTAGATGTTGCTACTCATCACTGAAGATACAGAGATGTAATATTTGGTTAAATGCTGTACAACATTTTTTAATGTTAAAAATGCAAACTTAATTGGCAACTACTGTCAGAAAAGATCCATTTTAGTCTAACACCTTTTTCTTGAGATGCTAAGAATATTAAATCGTTGTTTCTTGCTGGCTGGGTAGCATATGACATTGCTAGCACTGCAAATACATATTCATCAGCCTCACCCTTCTGATTTTTTCCAATGACACGTTGTCTTCTGAAGGTAGAGATGAAACTAAATACAAACATTATCTCTTAAGGACCATCTGCCCTGCCATTTGGAATGGGGCTCATGCATCCATTGGCAACTAATGTACAATTTGACTCTGGGACTCATGATACTTTGCCACTCCAACCTAATGAATCCATACTGTGGATACATATAATCGTAGTCCAATGATCTGCATACTTGTGCAGTGTCAGTGCCAAGTTGATTTACACTATACTAACCCATGCTTACAAATTCCTAAGAGTCAAGGTGCAATGGGAGCAGCCACATTGGTTCTTCAGATCTACTCTCATCATGTCAAAGGTAGACCAACAAAGTTGAGATAGCTGAATCCATCCCTTTCCCACAATCCACACCTTCAGCTACTTGTCTCCTAATCCAGATCCAATACTGGGGCTCCATTTACTTAAGAATGCAATTTGCTAGACTGTTTTAGATATGAACTAGGCAGAGATGTGAACAAGCAAATATGCTGACTCCATTGTCCCTAGTTTTGCCTAAATAGTTCATGATAATCTCTTCTGCTTTTTTTAACAATGACAAAAAAGGAAGAAGGTGAAAGATGACTTACCTTGAACGCAATCAAGCAGTGCAATATTCAAGGCCAAAAAGAGATTAAAAAACAAAAAACGGTTAGAGTGTGCCAATTGTAATTCTTGGGTACCTTTCTGCTGTGTGTTGTGTACCCTTCACTATCCCTTGCTTATTACTCTCATGACAACCTGCAGCCAAGAAGATATCTGAGAAAAAGCTTAAAAATATGTGCACTTTATCACAAAAGACTGCAAAATCTTAGCTAAAGTGACAAGTTTTTCAAAAAGTTTTGGAAGTCTGTGAAACAGATAAGCAGTCAGCTCTAATGACACACAACATTAATACAATTTGAAAAAGCATTGGGTTTAGTATACACTTTAATGAAGGACAGCCTCAGTAAATGACTTAAATCAGTCTTTATCCTTTTCTAACTCCCCATGCTGACCAGATGGATGCTATAAGGCAGCATGATCTCTACCAGCAACCGCTTAGAAATGAGCAACATGAGAATGCCTGGGATGACTTGGTGGACATGCTGAAAGGGCTCCTTTCAAGTGTTCCAGTTTTAAATCTATTTCACGTTTATACTGGTGATGGTAACTATTAAGTCCTTCATGAAGTTCCTAAGAGGGTTTCCATCTCCCTCTTACTGTCAAAATGTCACACCAAAAAGCAGCCCTGTAGGTTCTCCTAGCAGCAATTACATCCTTGGACAACTGCAGTCCAGTCTAATGTGAGTGCCAAACCAAAGAGTATCCTGGAAGTTCTTCTGAATTTGACTTTTCCACTCCCGTTTACAAAAACAGAAAGGGTCTAAAGATTTTTCCTCCTATGTCATGTCTTGGATGTCGTTAAGCCTTGTTTTTCCATAATATTCCAGAGTTTGCGTAGATTTGACTGTGTGATGACATCATCTGGTTTAAGCCGAAGGGCATGGAGATAGTTTGCCTCAGCCTCTAGGAGTTTGCCATTAAGATGCAGAATTGCTCCCAGATTCATTAGGGCAGCTGGATACTGGAACAAAAAAAAAGGGAAAGAAAAATGATTAAAGGTTTTTTTGGGGGAAGAGGTTGCACATTGTTTCCTCTGATAACCTTCATCCATGACACAAAATTATTCCCTTATGTTTTTGCAGCCTTCTTTCATGGAAACAATTTAGCAACTGGAACAAACATGGAAAGATAAGAAAGGAGAGATTTATTCCATTATTTGCTGCACTTTGCACTTCAAAGACCGCAGGCCATAGCGTTGACAAGGAGATTCCCTCCCTTTTTTAATGAGCATAGCATACAGGCTTCATAAACTGGAACATGGGTATTCCCACTGAGATTTCCAGGGGAAACTTATGGCTGATAAGAGATATGTCTTTTAAACCATTCCTTCACCTGTAAAGATTTTATAATCCATGAATATATTCTTTACACTCTACTTTCTGAAGATACAAAGATATGTTCACTTTAGGTTTCTTGTACTGGCTGGTATAACACAACACCAGCATGACCAGTGAAAATCTGGTATACTAAAATGATCATATGCATATGTTTACACCAGACAATGGCAAAAAAATAAAAGCCCTACAAGATCAAACCAGTGCTCCACTCTGCTTCACACAGCAGCCAACAAACAGGACACAGAGGAATCTTAATTATTTATAAGTTATTGTGTCAGAATTCATGGTCACAGTCTACTTCGATTCAAGTCCAATGGCTAAAAGAGTGCCAGATACAACTAACTGAACAACATTGGGATTCAATCTGGAGCACTCCCTTGCTTAAATCTAAATGTACAGTTATCTGTTGGCAACAATATAAGCTAATTACCAGGTGGTATTTAACGCCATATAAGCTGTATAAAAGCAAACTAAGAACTAATTTGGAACGCTGGAAGAAATGTGGTGAAACTGGAACATTTCTCCACTGTTGGTAGGGTTGCAAAGTAGTGAATGCATATTGGGAAAATATTATAAAAATATTGATGACATAACAGGAATTTTGATTCCAAATACACCTGAGTCTATTTTATTAAATATGTGGCCAGAGTTAAATATCCCAGAGTCAAGGAAGGATTTATTAACCCATCTCCTATTAGCTGGTAAAACAGTATTAGCACAACAATGGAATACTAAGAATATACCGACTTTGGCACAGTGGTATGATAAAATATGGGACTTGATGGTCCAGAACAAGATAGTTTCACAATGAATTCAAGTTGAGAATCTTAGGCCCCTGCCACACGGGGGGGGGGGGGGCCCCCGGAAAAGGGGGGTTTTAAAGCCGCACCAAAAAAGACACACGGCAGCGGGATCACATAAATCCCCTGAGCCGCCACGTACTTCCTCCCCGGCACGATCAGATGCCGGGGGGAAGCCACTGAAAGGGGAGCGAGGCAGCCGAACTACGCATGTGTGCGCATGTGCAGTTCGGCTGGGAGCCAAGATTGCTTCGGATGAAGCGTGCCGCGGCGATCCCACGGCTGCGCTTGATGTGGCATTCCCGGTAAGTCCACCTCTGGGGGTGGTTCTTTTTTACTGCGGATTTTCGGCCTGAAGGGCCGGATCGGGAATGGGTGCACACCGCTACCCAGATGTTGCGGTGAAATCGCGCCCGTCTGCTGTGCCCCCCAATCCGTCCCTCTCCCGGGCCAAAACCTTCCGTGTGACCGGGCCCTTAGTAGGAAAAATATGTTCATAGAGACCTAGTATACATTTTTTGAGTATATATAATCAAACCACCTGCCAGAACTCCTCAATACCTAAGAAATACTTAGATTTTGTATATTTTTAGTTATGGCTTGTTTGATAGATAAAAACGAAAACTGTAATTGTCTGGGGAGATAATCGATCCTGTATTAATGTAGCATGTGTATTGTTTTATGTGCTGAAATAAAAAACAAACGAACAAAAAGACACCAGGACACAGAGGCGTTCCCATGATCTTGCCTCCTAGCTCCTGGTCCTCAGAGTTTTATTGCCTTGAATGTACAGGTTCCCTTAAGTCACCGTAGCTAACAGGCACTGAGAGACCTCTTTTACATGAATCTGTTTAATCTCATTTAAAAACAATTTACGTGTCATCACATTGTCCTTATGCAGCAGAAACGAGTGCTATTTACATTTCCAATTTAACACTGAAATCCCATTTAAACATTGCTACCAAGTAAGAGCCTTGTCAGAGTAATATAATGTCACACCACTCTTTGTGTTTTTAATCATAAAATATTTTGATGAACCTCTATCATCAAGAGCCTAAACTTGAAAAAGATTGGCTAGAAATATAGCAAACAAGTAAGAGATAAATAAAGTTATAAAGTTAAAATCATGCTTAAATTTGACATGTAGTCTTTGTTTTCTACTGCCCAATTGGCTGCTTCTCTGCCTGCAAATGCCATAGGAATTAGATTTTCAGGGACCAGATTTTTTTTCTAAAAGCAAAAATATTAAAATGATATATATAGTTTGCCTTCATCAAAAATATTTTCTTCATAATTTAAAACTTGCCCATTATCAATATGTATGCACACCCACAGACACATTATTTTGGCTTTCTTATTACCAGAAGTAAAAACATTAGATATAATAATTTGCGATGTAAGTCAAACACAGAACACACACATTTTCTTCTATTTATGCCTGGAAATCAGAACACAACACTAATATCTGGCATGTCTATATACTATTAGCCACCTGTGGCTGAAATCTGTGGATCAGGGCCACATGGAGGCTAAACAGAACTTTCTGCACACTTGGGGGACCCCCTAGGTGTGCAAAAAACCCTGAAATGTTTTAAAAAATCACAGGGGGGTTTAGGCTTCTCCTCCAAATAGAATGGTTCAGAATGGAGCTGCTACAGGCCTGCCTTGTGGTGGATGCTGGCAGCAGTGCCAGGCACAGTCTCAGTGTCAAGGATGCCAGCAGCCATGCCAGCTCTGCGACTGTGGTTGAGGATGCCTGGGAGTGTCCGTGACCTGGCTGCAATGGAGGTAGTCTCCTGGCAGCTGCTACAGCCCGACCACAGTGGTGGTGGAGGAGGCCTGGCAGCTGTGCTGGCCCGTCTGCAGCAGATGAGGATGCCGGTAGCTATGCTAGGCTGAACATCAGCATAGGACACCAGTCTCCACCCCCGCTGAACAGGGAGCAGCTCCCAGACACTGACACTGCTGGGCTCCAAGGCTCAGCAATGGGGAGGAGATAGGATCCCCCCAAGAATTTTGCCAGCCCCCACTTGTCTATTTAGCTATTTCTCAAGTGTGGGCATATCTTCGAATACCTAAATATGTGGACCAAGCCCACACTGTGAGAAAGTAGATTTTTCTCCAAATTTGGGGGAAGTCCCAGATTTGCATAAAAATCTAAAAACATAAAAAATACTTTTTGAGAGTGTTAAATTCCCCTAAAACAAAAATGTTCTTTGTACATGCACAGAGCACTTAATAGAAGTGGGCCTTGTGGCTGGTGCAGCAGCTCCTGAGGGCCCAGCCACAGTCACTGCTGCTGCCATTGTTGCTCCCGGGGGCTCTACCGCTAATGCAGCAGCTCTGGAGGGCCCTGCCATCTGCCAGTGGCCCTGTCGCTACAGAGGCTCTGGAGGGCCCAGTTGGCTGCCAGGGGCCGTGTGTGGGGGGGAAGCAGGTGGCTGGCTGGGAGAGTCACCTCCACTGCTGTTGGGGGGAGGAAAAAGCAGACAGGGGGCTGAGAGAGCCACCACTGCAGTTGGGGGGGGGGGAAGAGAAGCAGCAACTACAGATGCATGTGAGTGGGCAAGGAGCCTCTTTCTCATCTACATCTCTGTAGCTGCTGGCTCAGCAGCTCTTTTAAAACTTTCTCCCGGCTTCTAATTGATCAGATTTCAGGGAGAAGTAGCACTGGAGTCAGGGTGTTTGTGTGTGAGGAGGATTCTTCACTCCCATCAGCTCCCACCCTGCTTCTCTCTGAAGTCTGACTGATTAGAAGCTGGGAGAAAGTTTTAAAAGGACAGCTGAGCCAGCAGCTATAGAGATGGGTGTGAGAAGGAACCGGCTCACCCAGTCACATGCCTCTGTAGTTGATAGTCTAGCTATCCTTTTAAAACTTCTCCCCCCACCTCATTTTTAACTGGACAGAGTTCACCTACAGCTGAAGATGTCAAGGTAAGGGGGGGGCGAAAGAGAGATGGGGGAATATTGACAGAGAAGGGTAGGGGGGGAATTGTCAGAGAAGGGTAGGGGGGAGAAATATGGGTGAAAGATTGAAAGGGGAAGGGGAGAAAGAGGGGGTGGAAGATTATTTGAGAAGGGAGGAGAGGAAAGGGAGCAAAGTGGGGAATGGGATGTACCCTCCCCGCAAATTTCTTGTGGGTTTTCACTTGTGGGAATTATTTTCCAGTACTGTCAGTGTGCTATTCTAGTCAAACAGTCTCAATGCAAAATGAACTAAAAAATTAATTAATAAAACATCTTGATTACAGTGCTGTGCAGAATATCCCTAATACCCTACTGCTGGCTCTGGAAACAATCTTGTTTACATGCAGCAAAAAACCATGTTATTTCATTCTCTGCTTATGTAGGCAGGTTGGATATCAAACAGAATCTAATTCTAGATGTTATCTCAGATTTATTTTTTTTAGATGCCATTTTGGCTGACATCTGAAACCCATTTTCTCTATCAATTAACTAGCTGTTTTTGTTGAAGATGACATAAACATTATCCAGTTCAAACTTGCTGTTCCAATTCAGATCATCCATACATCAAGCCATACCCATAATGCACGTGATTAACTTAAATATTACATTGTAACATAAAAGAGAAGTGTATGAGATGTCTTAAATGTACTTTATACTTATAAGGCAGCCAGCATGGTGCAGGAATTACAGTACTGGGCTAGGAATAGGGAAATCTGGGCTCAGACCCCCACTCTGCCATAAAGCTCACTGGGTGACCATGGTTCTGTCATTCTCTCAGCCTATTCAACCTCAAAGGTTTTTACGAGAATAAAGTGGGAGGAGGTAGCAATACGCAGATGATATCCAGCTCTACCTTT